GTTGGGCTGAGAGAGAGTGACTGGCCCAAAGTCACCCAGCCAGCTTTCATGTCTGAGGCAGGATTAGAACTCACTGTCTCCTGCTTTCTAGCTTGGAGCCATAACCACTGGACCAAACCGGCTTGCTGTGCGGTCCTGCTATTTTCTCTTAAAAATCAGTTGTTTTATACTTACTAAAGGTCTTTGGGGCAATTTACAGCCTGCATATACTGCTAAATTGCAGATACGTCTTGTGCACCAATTGTGTCCATTTCTGGGTGGGGAGGCCTTGCTCGCAGTCACTCACGCGTTGGTCACTTCCTAGTTGGACTATTGCAATGCACTGTATTTGGGGCTGCCCTTGAGCACCGCCTGGAAATTACAGCTGGTCCAGAATACAGTAGCTTGTGTGGTATTGGGCATCCCTCGGTTCACCCATGCTACACCATTGTTGCACAAGCTGCACTGGCTCCCAGTTTCTTTCCAGGTGCAATTCAAGGTGCTGGTTATTACCTTTAAAGCACTATATGGCATACAGCCAGGTTATCTGCAGGACTGCCTCTCCCTGAGGATGTCTTCCCATCCCACAAGGTTGGATAGAGTGGGCACACTCCAGGTCCCTTCCCTCAAATGTTGCCACCTAGTGGGACCTAGGAAACATGCCTTTTCTGTAGCAGCTCCTGCCCCCTTGAGATCCAGCAGGCCCCCACCCTCTTAGCTTTCCAGAAAGCTGTTGAGAGCTGGCTTTTCCCCAGGCTCTGGGATAGCAAAGTTGGAGCCCAAGGGACTGTATAGTTGGATAGATGTCATTGACTGGGCACTGGGTTTTTCTTGTTTGTTTGTTGGATTGTTTTCTTGTTGTGTTTTTATAATTGCTGTTAGCTGCCCAGAGTTGTGTCTCACAAGATGGGCAGCCATATCAATCTTTTAAATAAGTTAATAAATACAATATGTTTCAAAGCTGTTTTATCTCTGTGTTTGTGAGATGCTGCAGGGGAAGGTTTTTGCTACTTAGCAAAATGGAGAAACCCAGCCCTGGAGTTTTCTGCCAGGATTTTGAAATGAAGGGCTTGTGAAATTGACTAAGATGAGACTGAGAAATTTATTAGAGAAAAGGCAAAAAAGCCAGAAAGTAGGGTGCATTGCCAGTTAACCTTAATGAATTAATTGGTTAAAATTATTATTTCTTTTAAACTTCTGTCAAACATTAGAAAGAAGGAAGCACTAGACTAGCACAGCAGTTGGCGTCTAAAACTGTGATGCTGTTGTTATCAAAAAATATCACATACTACCTACTTTATCATTGTTACAAAGTGGGTGTCAAGAGCAGCCATGCTGTATTATTTGTCATGTCCTTGTTAAACAAACATTGTGTTTTGGAAAACTACTGGTACCTTGATGCCTCATAGAAGCTCCCATGTGTATTGTGCCTTGGAAAATTTAGAAAAAAAAGAAAATACAAAAGGGCTTATGCCTGAATGGATTTCCTATCTCACAACAGTGCATTCTCTCTCTCTCTTATCAGTTTGCGTGCCGTCTAATCAGCAGCCCACTCATATATGTGTACGTGAGAACTATGAAGCTGAATTCAGTAACTATACAAATGATTTAAGTGCTGATCCTGAAGGCAACTGCAGGGGAAACAAGTTTGGGAACTACCATAACGTTTTAGATCAGTGTTTCTCAGAACCTCAGCAACTTTAAGATGTATGGACTTCAATTCCCAGAATTCTTCAGCCAGCATGCTTGCTAGGAAATTCTGGGAGTTGAAGTTCACACATCTTAAAGTTGCTGGGATTGAGAAGCACTGTATTAGATGGCTGTGGTTGTTTTCCAAGACCAGAAGTAGGATCTGCTTTACATTTATGCATTCATGTCCATTTTTAAAGAATAGGCATATTATTAAAACATAAATTCTTTAAGGGGAAAAATGTAAGTTGTAGGACATAAAATAGCTCTGTAATATGAAATGCAGGGCCTGCAGTCTAGAAGAGATATCTACAGATTGTCCACCTTCATCACACATAGCTCCTTCCACCTCCACCCAAGAATGTCAGATTGTAAGGACTGGTCTAATGTTGGGGATATATACAGGAACAAATTGGAAGGTACATCAAGGTTTGGACAGGATATTTCAGTGTTTTTACTGGAAAAGCCAGTTTTACATCTCTCACACATACATAACCAAATAGAGCTTTTTTACATAAATTTGATTGGCACCAGTATTTCCATCCTGAAATTGGAAATTGATTATTAATGAAGGGACAATGATGGGTTTTTTGTATACGGAGTGATAAGAGGGTGTGTAATGTGATTCTACATAATACAGTTTTACAATTTAGCAAACATCTGAGACAGGAATTCTAATAGGTCTTTGTTCCTTTGCAAAAAGAGCAGGGAATACACACTCATTTTGTAATGTTTAGTTTATTTACAAATACATATCTATAACAAATTGCAGCAGACAGTTAAACCCATTTCCTGTTCTGCACCATTTTCATTTGTAAACTACTCTTGAAGTCCATCATTTCCCTTAGTTAGAAGGCATTGTTCATTAAAAAAATTCCAGCGATTATGAAATAATTTTGTAAACATACAGTCCTGCTGATGAGTCTTCAACCCAAAACATCCAGCCACCTGCCTTTAGAAAGGAATGGTCAGAGCTGGTCATGAATACCCAACTTGGATGGGGGTGGGCAGTCTGAGCCCCAAAGAACCAACCAACCCCAATCTTTCCTGCAGCACCCGGGGTGGCCTCCTACCATTGCTGAAAATCAGTAGAAGCTTTTCCTGCTGTTTTCAGGTAAGGAACACAAAACATTTGTAATAAAAATTGAAAATAGGCCCGCTAAAAACCCTATAAACTCATACTTTAAAAAAAATTTATATTAAGATTTTTTTCCATAGAATAAAAGACAAATAAAAAAGAAAGAAAAGAAAGAAAAAAGTGCGAGAAATGAAAAAGAAACTAAAGTTAAGAAATATATAAATGACTTGTGACCTTCTTTTCAACAGATAATTACAATTATTGTCCTTCCTCCCTCTTAGATGTTATACAAGTCCCCTCAGCCTGTCTTTTAATTCACATCTTTCTTAATCTCGAAATCCATAAATCATCATGTCATTTTTTGTTCTTTCAGAAAAAAGTCCATATAAGGTTTCCAGTCTTTCAAAAAGTTGTTGTTTTTTCTCTGACCAAACAGGTCAGTTTTGCCATTTCTGCCAATTCTGACATTTTCATAATCCATTCTTCCACTCTGGGAATTTCCTTACTCTTCCATTAAACTCACACAATACTTTCAAATCCCAGCAGAAAAACAATAACGAATAGCCTACTTACTTTGCATGATGTAAGCTCCCCCCAAATGTTAAGTGCAGCCCTCAACCCCCAAAAGATTGCTGTCTCCTACATTAGATAATCATCCTTTTCCAGAACTCCAGGCTCAGTGATAATAAGGAAATACTCTAAGGAAATGGGGAAACAACCGAGTGAGGTTCATTTGTTGGTGACAACCTAGATATTCCAGCCTCTCTTTGTCACTGGGCTTCTCTCAGTTCTTTACACAATCCTACAAATTTGTGAGAGCTTGCTGGGACAGCTCTGAGTGTTCCTCAGATTGTCCTGAGTCTCCCCTGGATCCTGTCGCTCTTTTGGCCGAGATTTCACTCTGTACGTTGCTTTAACACTGCTGAGCAGATCTTGGTGGGGGCTGATGGACTGGGTGCAGCGGAATCTCTCCCGCATGAGGTAGCCAAGTTGTGTTGTTGCAGCAAAGCCATCAGCTGTTGACACCATCCTGGTAATTTTTGCATGCACAAACTGAACTGCTAAGAGGGCCCCTGTGGAAAGTGGGAACATGCCAGTGTCACAAGGAACTCAAATTACACTCAAACATTTTTTCCATCTCACAGGGTGTCAGCAAGAGGGATCGAGATAGCAGCTTTAATCACACAATTGAAGCTACTAGCTTGGTTTTCTTTACCCCCCCCCCCGCCACACCTGCCCCTACATTCCCACCACACATTTGAAGGAGGGAAAAACACCTTTGCTTGTTCCCCCAACTTTATGACAAGCTCTCCCTTGAGATTGCTACCATATAAGGTAATAGTGCCCAAAGTTGCAGGTTCCTAAAAATATCAAATTGCTCACCCTGTGACACATCCCACACTGTAACACACTGATCCAAATTGCTGGTGAACAGGTACTGGTCATCTTTTGAAAAGCATGCACAGAAAATGCCATGTGAAAAGGAATCTTGCTGGGAAAGAACAAACAAACAACGTTTTAGAAAAGTAGTTTAGTTAAACAGGAAGAGTCACTGTGGAGTGATTGTATAGAGAAGGAAATTTTTCTAGAATTTCCCTTCAATGCAGCCAAATTTGGACTAGATTACAATTCAAATAATCTCTAAAACCCTTCATTGCTCAGAAGCTGGATATCTGTGGGGCCACCCACTCCCAGCAGTATCTGCCTTTAAGGTGGACTCCGTCCAGGTCCTTCCACTCAGGGAATGCCATCTCCAGGGACCACAGAAACAAACTCTAGCCATAGCTAACCTGCCTCTTCCCTGGAATTTAGTTATCTCTAGAATGAAAGTTATGAGTAGTGGGCAGGTAGATACAGTAATACCTCGGTTCGCGAACGCTTCTGTTCACGAACAATTCGGTTCGCGAACAGCAGCGTCTGCAAAATTTTGCTTCCGTTTGTGTACTCCGCATCAGGTGACAAACACGACTCGCGGCCATCTTCCCTGCTCTGACACGTGGTCATGGCTTCCTCTAGGTGAGATCGCGGTCGC